TGGTTCCAAAGAGTCGGAGCAGCCACCGAGAAGGCTCTCCTCCGGGGCCCGCCAGCCGACATTGTCTGGCTGACGGCATCTGAAGGAGGCCCAATCTGTGGGATCTTACTGGCTGCTGGGAGGTATGTGGCAGTAGGCGGTCTCGCAGGTATTTTTTGTCAGCTATTTTGTGAGGTAGGCCCAGATGTTTGCGTTTGAGTCAAGAACTATGCTAGAACCTTGGATTGAATCTTTATTTATATCTTCCTTTTGCCTGAACACAGGTAGGCCGCGACTTACAAGCGTTTGTTGAGTGACCAAGGTTACAGCATCACTGAAAAAAGTGTCTTATGACTTACAACAGCTGCGGCCGCCCCTTGGTCTTATGATCCAAATTTAGACGCTTGGCAATTGACCCATATTTAATGACGGTTGCAGTTTCCCAGGATCACGTGATTCTTCTTTTGAGAACTTCTCACAAGCCAAGTCAATGGAGAATCCAGGCTCACTTAACATCATTGTAACTAACTTAAAACACCTGCAGCGATTCACTTAACAACTGTGGCAAGAAAAGTCATAAAATGGGGCAAAACTCACTTAACAAATGTCTTAAAAACGTTTGGGCTCAATTGTGGCCGTAAGTCAAGGTCTGCCTTTAGATTGCTGTGCACTTATTCTAAAACACAATGTAGGAAATTGTTCCGTATCGGGCTGAGAAAACAATATCATTATGTCTGAAAAAAATAAATCAAATGAGCTTCCTACCCTATTTGTAAGAGTTAAATAACTGACATGCAACTTTTAATGCCATGTTTTCCCAAAAATAAGGCAGGGTTTTATCTTTTGACCCCTGAAATAAGCACTTGGCCTTATTTTCGGGGAGGTCTTATTATTTTTGAGGTGCAGGAGGCAGTGAGCATTGTCCCCTCATGGCTGCTGCTCTGTTGCAATATTTTTGGGGAGGGCTTATTTTTGGGGAGGGCTTAATTTAGAGCATGTGCTCAAAAGCCCAATTGGACTTATTATTCGGGGAGGTCTTACTTTTGGGGAAACAGGGTAGAACCTACCGTTTTTTTCAATATTTATTTCAAGATCAAAGCAGAGGGGGGGGATTGCTCATCTGTACTTGAAATCCCTTCCTTACAGCTTCATCACTGATATAACTAAGAGTCAACATAAAGAATTAAGTCACAACATCTGAAAAGCTAGTTATAATACATCCAGAAAACCTTGTGCTTTCAGCCGCTGCCTTAATATTTATTTTAATATTTCCAGGAACCCAAATGGCCTTCATTTGTTTCCTGTTTAAATAAAATGAGTCTTCCTTCCTCTCCCCCTCCTCCTCCCTTTTCTGTGGAATTGATGTAAAGGGGAAAGGCCATAGCTAAATGGAGAAAGCAATTTCCTTATTCATATCCAAGCCCAGCGCTGGGATTTATAATTGAAGTTTCCCAGAAAGAACTTTTCTCTTCCTTTCTCAAAGAGATAATGCATCTATCTGATTCAGAAATTGAAAGATACCATTTAACATGACCCAAAGGAAGCTGGGTTCAACTCTATACCCTATCAGGAAGCTGATGGTTTTCGAGGCTGAAATTTACAAGTTTAAGTATTGCTACGCCTGAAATCCCACCGTGTCAATTAAAATGCATTATGCAAATTTATTGAAGCACTTCTTATTTAATTGTTGTATGCGGAGCAACATCAAGATTATATTTAAGAAAACAATTCCAGAAGGCTCAAGTCATGAATCACATTGTTTATAGCTGTATGAGTTAATACTCTCTTCCTCCCCGCTTTGCAAATTATTAGTCTGAATAAAGTTTGATTTTTATTACTTTATATTCTAAAAGGCAAAAAATAAAAGCTGTCCTTGTTTTAGCACAGGCGCTCAAAAGCTATGTACAATTAATCTACCCTATTTTAAATTCCACCTGGATTAGCAAGAAAATTTACAGGATATAAAGTCAGCATTTTGAGACTAAGGGAACTACGATATAATCTAGAATTAATCACACATGAATCCATTATGCTTGGACACATACCGGTAATTAAATAGAATAGAATAACAGAGTTGGAAGGGACCTTGGAGGTCTTCTAATCCAACCTCCTGCCTAATCAGGAAACCCTACACCACTTCAGACAAATGGCTATCCAACATCTTCCTAAAAACTTCCAGTGTTGGAGCATTCACAACTTCTGGAGGCAAGCTATTCCACTGATTAATTGTTCTAACTGTCAGTAAATTTCTCCTCACTTCTAAGTTGCTTCTCTCCTTTATTAGTTTCCACCCTTTGCTTCTAGTCCTTCCCTTCAGGTGCTTTGGAGAATAGTTTGACTCCCTCTTCTTTGTGGCANATCAATTGGAATATTCATTTGACTCTCCATCACTGATGCCTAAAACTATCCGCTCATTAACAGCAAGTTTACATACAGTTAGAAGTCTGTAATAGTCATGAAAACATGTAATGTTTTATAGCTACTGGACCCAGTTATATACAATATTTATTGCTATGTCACATATACGATGTGCGCAAGCTGAAGCTACCTTTGACTAAACTTCTCTTTTTTATGGTTATTAAGGAAACATTGAATCAGATATTTTATTTACTCTGATATAAGTAACTCACATTTGAAGTATTTTCTTTCAATATTTTCCTGTATATTAACTGGGATAATTACAGGTAGTCCTCGACTTACAACAGTTCATTTAGTAACCATTCAAAGTTACAATGGCAGTGAAAAAAGTGACTTATGCAAAATTCACTTTTACCCCATTTTATATTTGTTATGTTTCACTTAACAACAGAAATGTTGGGTTCCATTGTGGTCTTAACTCAAGGACTACCCGTTCTTTCAGCTGCATTGCAATTATTACATTCATATTTATTTATTTCCCCTTTACAGGGCTTATAGGCTGCTCTAATCAATCAAATCTGAATGGTACTGTATAAAACTCCCTAAATCCATTGTTTGGATTAAACAACAGGTAAACAATTAAGATTAAAATTAAATATAACTTGTAAAACAATCATAAAAATGGGTAATAACGTTCCAGACTAAAACAAAACTGATTTGTCATCTGGAAAGATAACCCCAGTAGTGTTGGCTCCAGGGCTCGATGAAATAACAAATTTTTCACAGACTTTTTAAAGGCCAGAAGGGAGGAGACAAATTAAGTAGTGATATTTAATTTTGTCCCTTCTTCTCACCTGTATATTTTATTTTGGGTGATGTTACTTTAAATTACAACCCTGGGGGAATGGACTGTATTTCTTTATTAATCTGTAAGTAATCCTAGAAGCTTTTTTTCAATTGTAAAAAAAGATATATAAATGCTTTGAATATTTTTAAAAAAATATTACCCTACAGGTATTGAAAGCCCTTTGAATTTGAGCCTAATTACAGCCTGGGCTTTTTCAGAATAATTTCTGTAATTATACTGAGACTAGAGAAAACAAATTAAACTTAAATATTTTATGTGCCTACAATCTGAAGCAATTAAAACTCCAACTGAGTCATCTGGGTGCTCACTTTGCTCATGATACAAGACAATTGCAAATATTTAATGGCATTGAGAAAGTTATCCTGAATATCCCTTCAAACTAAAATATTAGCAGCTCATTTTAGTAAATAATTTTAAAGTGTAAGTAATTTAAGGAAGCATTCATAACAGGAAACCAGCCTTGTCATTTGTAATTATGTTATGCATTTGTAATCTTCCATACGTGGGTCTTACTAGTACTTAGTGACTATTATAACCATTTAAACAGCTTTAAGCTTTTTCTTCTAAAATAGATACTAATATACAAACCTGTGATGAAGGGAGTTGAGCAGCTTCAAATTCTTCTTGTTTTCTACAGGCTTCTGCTAGTGCTAATCTGTGGACAGGATCCCATAGTTTTTCCTTGCGTTCTTTCTGAAATAAATAGCAATTTATTTTTTTAAAATATCAAAACTTGGTAATTTTTTACTACAATAAATTCAATATCTTACCTCAGTTTTAAACTTTGAAATGAACCAATTGTCTCAATCTTGCTTTTTATATGCTTTTTATATTTTCAATAGTACAACACTTTATCAATACAGACAAGTAGAAATAAACTCACAGAATGCTTAAAATGCTGCTGCATGAATAGTGCTAAAAGAAATTTCAGTATTTTCTCTTAATTCAAAGGGAATAAAAGTACACTCAAAAACATCAAACAACAGATATTAGTACAAGCACTCCTTGCTTAAGGAACATTTGCTATAACAAGGCTACAGGGCACTGCACACCAGAACAACTAGACACAAGGAGAGTTTTCCCCCCATGCCATCAGTCTGCTAAACAATTAATTCCCACAATACTGTTGAAATATCTAAAAAGGCAGTATTACCATCATTATTCCCTCACCTTCCCTATTACCTATCACCTTATCTTCTTATGACTATAACTTTGTTGCTTGTATCTTACAATTTAAATCATCCAAGTATAATTTATGTTGATTGCTTATTTTGTATCCATTACTATCACTGTGTTGTATCTAATGTTTTATGATGAATGTATTTTTACGACTATGATAATGATTTATCACTATTGTTGTATGTACACTGAGAGCTTATGCACTGGAGACAAATTCCTTGTGTGTCTAATTACCAATAAAGAATTGTAATTCTAATTCATTCAGAAACCATTGAAATTCTGAACATCTGTGCCCAAAGTTATGGCCATTGCAGTGCCCTCAGTCATGATTGTAATCTGGGCACTTGGAAACCCATTTGCACTTGCCAAGTGCCCCATGATCATGTGATTATCATTTGCAATTTTAAGAAGAGAAAGGGAAGATCGCAAGAACTCCTGCTCGCCAGGGGCCTTGCTGAAAAAGGTCTGTCCTGAAATCCAAGCAGGATTTTGGCATTTGCAGAAACTCACAACAACCTAAATGCATTTCTTTCTTTCTTGTGGTTCAAAATGACTTCAAATGTAATTGAAGTTAGGATAAAGAATATAAAATAATACCTGCATTCTCTCTTTAAGAACTTTAGGATAGAATTCATAACCATTTTTTAAGCCAATGTGATATTTTCCTGAAGGATTTATCCAGTTGTCTGGAATCTAAAAAAGGAAAGAAAAGAGAAACATAAATTACATTTGGTTCATACACTTCAAACAATTACTGAACTATTTATAATAAGAACTACCCTGTTCCTCTGAAAATGAGACCTCCCTGGATAATAAGCCTAATCGGGCTTTTGAGCCCATGTGCTAAAATAAGCCCTCCCCCAAAATTTTGCAACACTGCAGCAGCCATGAGGTGACCACGCTCACTGCCTCCTGCACTCCAAAAATAACAAGACCTCCCCAAAAATACAGCCAAACACTTATTTTTTTGGGGGGGGGGGGAGGTGGTCAAAAGAAAATAAGACCCTGTCTTATTTTTGGGAAAACACAATATTAATGTTAGATGTAATTGATTTCAATGAATATATACTCATAAGTTCAACATTTGTTTGTTCACCCTTTGAAGGCATAAATTACAGAAATACATGGCACTAAGTTTTCAGTTTTTATACAAAGTAATATTTGAATAGTTTGCCTCTTTTTAGTATGTTCTGCTTGTAAACAACTGCACTATTATGTAAACTCCTCACATAAAAGCTCTACAATATCAAATCTGTGGTCAAATGGGTGTAAAAGAAAAAATGTAACATATGGAAGATAAGAACCGCACTATGCATTTTTTATTTTAGTTGGACTCATAACAAAATGTTCCTCTTGGAATGTAGCCTGTTTACATGTAGTGCTCCTCACCTTGACCTTCTCCCCACTTGGGGTGGTTGGGCCCTCTTTGAGTAGGGCCTCGCCTTCCTCCATTTAGCCAAGGTGTTCTATCTACCCCACAAACTATCGTTCTTGATGGGAGGCTCACAGTGCACTGTAAAATAATCCTTTCCCATCTTTAGGTATCTTTTAGGTTGGAGTTGGAGAAAGGTTAGTGACTATTGGCTAAAGCCTGTAGCCACAAAGTTTGTAAGTAGAGGACTGTCTGTATGCACTATATCTCTAAGTGTTGTATCTAATGTTTTATGATGATTGTATTTTTACAATGACTATGATAATGATATGCATTTTCTTTGAGATCTTGCAGTGAGGTGCTATGAATGCACCCTCATAGGTTCCAAAGCACTGTTTTGTCCCCAGATTCAAAGCATTGCATAGCTGATTGCAAATAAACATAAGGCTATAAAACATCAGATGATTGTAAATTTATTACCATCAAACATATATTTAACAGACAAATATTTATGGTAAATTCTTTAAAAACATCCTTTGCTTTTAGACATTATGACTTAAGTCAGTGGTCGGCAAACTTAAACACACAAAGAGTCATTTGGACCTGTTTCCCACAGAAAAGAAAACACCAGGAGCCACAAAAGTCCTAACCGGAAGACCCCTGTTCAATTTTGGAGTTGACCGGAAGTTCAGTTCCCCCATCATAGAGTCTCCTCCTAGCGTGGCGTTTTTCCCCCCTCTATCTGTCATAACCGAAAGCCCTATCAATTGTGGAGACAACTCAAAAACCCTCCCCTTGCCATAGAGTCTTCTCATGGAGCACTGGGCTTCTCCCCCCCCTCCCCACTGGAAGCTCCTCTCAAAATTGTGGCGCCGACCGGTGATGGAGCTGCAGCAGAGGGAGGAAAGAGCCACATGCAGCTCCAGAGCCGCAGTTTGTTGACCCCTGACTTAAGTAAAGGTAAATATGAATGCAAATATATTTTTAAATCGGCTCAAGGTAATTTCTCATAACAAGTCATCCTAATGCATATACAGCTGGACAATATCTTCAGTTTTGTTTCAAAATAGGGCATCACAATTTAATGCCAAATTCTGTTACCTTTAGAATTCTTCCTGAAAGACCAGTAATTTCTCCATTTTTTGCTTCTGTAACAGTTGAAGTATTTACATCCCCACTGCCCGTTGTATCAATTATGTCAACTATCTTGGGTTTTCCGTCAGTTGTGATCTAAAGGCAATAAATAAAAGCACATATGATACATGAATATTCTGTTTTATAACTACTGCTACATGGATTGGAATAATGCTATCGGTCTGTAACAGCAGACACCACCTAAATTTATTTCAATAAATGTAATTCAGCCTTTTCTAAAGCCAAGTTGATTCACAACATAAACAAAATCCATAAAGTTCAAATTAACAGCACATGTTAAAACAGCAAGATAAGCAAATATTCAGTAGAAACAAAGCTCACAATTCAGTGAGAATTATATTTAATCGGCCTGTCAATTCATCAGAGTATGAAGAATTTTGAAAAAGGTGGGGTTTTTGTCACACAAGGTTCTTGCTTAATGAACCACATAGTCCTTGCTTAATGATGGCAATCAGGATGGCCTGAATTGCTGTTGCTAAGCAATGCTGTCGTGTGACATTGCACTTTACAATAATGTCACTTAGCAATAGCAATTTTGGTCCCAATGGCCACCATAATCTGAGGACAACCTGCATTTAATATATTTCCTGCCCAAACCTTTCTGGAAAAGGTCTTCATTAATTCACAGACCATTGTGGGATTACAAGACTCTTACAACAGAGAATTCCAAAATTTTGGTACAACTATTAAGACAACCTTCTCCGGTCATGGCAATGTAAGCCATTTAAAACAAATTGTTCTTATAAGAGCCATGCATTTTAGAGAGTTTGAAACATAAACGTAATAATCAAAGATAATACTTGGTACAGTAGAGCTTATACATAAGCCTCCTATAAAGAGTAGGAGGAATAGGAATTCAAATTATGCAAGAGGAAGCAGATAAACTGGATACTGTCACAAAGGAGACAGTATGGAAAATCAACTGGAAGGATATGACAAAGCAGAGACAGATCTTTATTGGCCAGGATAAAACAATGATGCAAAATTCATTTGAAAAGCAGCTTTAACATCAAAGCAAAATACCGTAGCAATTGTCTTAACTCAAAACTAAATAACATACCGTATTTTCACCCATATAACCCGCCCACGCAAATAACCCGCCCACGCGAATAACCCGCGGGTTTTCGGGATCGTGTAAAATATTTTCCGTATACCCCGCCCACGCATATAACCCGCGACGAGTAAGAGAGAAGGGAAACAGCTGAGATGGGGGGGAAGAAACGGAGAAAGAAGCCTGCGCANTCTACCATTAGTTCTCTTTACTGATTTAAATTATGTTTACATTAAATTCTAATCACTGTTAAGCGGGTAATGGTATCTTTTTTCAAATAATTTTTAAAAAAATCATTCCGAAATAGCAGCATATTTATACTAGAAACTAGACGTTTTTTGTTTCTGTTTGATATCATTACTTCAGTCTCCACTCAAATGAATCATTCACTATGTCAAAGTGTATGCAATATTTGTTTTACAAATTATTCAGAACCTATGCATGCACATAATAGTTGGATAGGATGCATAAACGTAATACATCCATTTCTGTATAGTTAGATACTATTGATTTATTAAGATCTATATCTCACTTTTCCTCAAGGATGTAAAGGAAGCTGGCACACATATTACTCCTCTTCCAGTTACTCTCAACAATAACTCCATGGAATTGTATTGGATGAAAAATAGTGACTTTTTTGGAAAAAAAAGAGAGCTCAAGATGGAGTTAATCCCTACATAAGCTAATGCTTTAAATACATCCCCGCTCATTCAATAATAAAGTTAAATAGTTAAATTAATGCAAATTAAAAATACTTCCATCAATGTGTAATTGTAGACTTGGGGAACTTAAAAATGGATTAGATAAAATCATGGCAGATAAGGCTATCATTAGACATTAGTCAACATCTAAATTTTAATTTCCAGATTAGAATAAATCAACTCCAAAATTCAAATACTGGAGAACAGAAGGCAAAAGCTTCTATCGCATTTAAGCTATTTTAAGTTCCCCATCTCATTTAACTTTGGCATTTATTATGTATAGATTTCTTATTAGGAAATGCTCTCTCTGACATGAGCTTTTTTACAAATCAGATTTAGATCTGTTTCAAGAAAAATCAAGACAAGGCAGAGTTTCATATGTAGAGAGACTAAGAAAACAATCGGTATGATTCTGTTATACAGAATTCTACTCAGTTTCCAATTGTAGCTTTAAAGCATGTCTCCAGTAGATGGGTAATAAAGTAGTCTCGCTTTGCGTATGTTCTGTGCATCCATGTTTTGCCCTGTAGAATAACCAATCCTTAAAAGATTACATTAGAAAACAGACATTGGATATCTATATTACGTTTCTGAGATTACAAAGCTCAGCTAAACGAAGAGGAACTGATGTTAATGAAAAAACTGTAAAACGTTCCCAATCATTCTGGAGACATAGAGAATAATGTAAGTTCACATTTATCACTTTAGTCAACTTTCAGCCTTAATAAACATTTTAAAGCTCCTTTTAATTCTTAAGAAAATAATTCCATAATTTATGTAACGGCGGCAAAGTGTTAGAATGCAGTACTGCAGGCATTCTAACTCTGTCCACAGTCTGGAGTTTGATTCTGACAAGCCCAAGGTTGATTCATCCTTCCAACTTTGGTAAAGAGAGGACCCAGACTGTTGGGGGCAATATGCTGACATTGTAAACCGCCCAGAGAGTGCTGTAAATGGAGTGGTATATAAGTTGACGAGGTATTGCTATTGCTATTAATGTGAATACTTGCCAATCACACTAGATGTAGTTCCCCCTGGGCATCCAACAGTAGACAAACAGGGACCATTGTTTCCAGCACTTGAAACATAAATTACATTATGTTTCCATACTGCTTCATTAATAACTTCACACATTCTCCTAGAAGAGATACAAAACATCACAAACTGAGAAAGGGCTTTTTCACTTACTTCTGTTCTTTCTTCACTTAGGTCAGAGATAACCTTTATTGTACAGATTCCTACAAGCTGCATCTCCTCGTGCTATCACCACCTTTCTGGATTGCAATGTATTATCTTCCTCTTGGCACACAAAGCATCATAATCAGCAGTGCAGCATCAGAACATTGTACAAAATGAATAAAGCTTCCCATGAAAAAAATGAAAAAGGGGGATGGAATTTGCTCATTTGGTCTACCACAACAACATCCTCCTGCTATTTCCTGCCAGGAATTTGTTCTGTTGAAATTCCCTACTGTGGCGTTGGCTCTCTACAGTTACTCCAACTGTATATGATTTCTAGGATGTGAACACAGAATGCTTCAGTAATTCATGACACAACAGTTCTATTCTTGGTTAATTCATTATTTTAAATTAAATGAGTTTTCCCACTGCTGGCAGAGAGCAAAGTAATACTCATAAATATATAATCTCCTTACCCAGCATTTGGCCAGTGAGTTGCCTCCCCATAACTGTAGTTGACAAGGTCACATTTATATTTTATTGTTTCTATCATCTGTCAAAGTAAAAAAAAAAGTTTAAGGCTCCGAGCACTGCATAAACAACATCATTTATTTGTAGCTAATTTAATTTATATATATATATATATATATATATATATAT